GCTACGTCTGGTGTTTCTCAACTTGCTTCTCTGGCCGCTCTGCAGCTCCCAAAGAGTTAATAGTGCAATACAAAGACATGCGCGCGTGTTTTATAATGAGTAAATATGAAACGCATGTCTGTACTGCGTTGTAGAGCACGAGAGAGTATATTTCGGGGTGCTGCCGTAGAGCACGACAAACAACCTCAGACGCACAAGTTGTACTCAATTGTTTTTCTTGCTTTTCGAGTGACAGGCCCCAGAGTGTTTATATCGCAATACAGAAGCATAAGCAGCCGTCACGTATATTGCTCAATAATAAAATATTTTTAGCGGTTTTTTTGCGCAAGTGTGTCTGTCCTCTGATATAAACACGTTAGCCAGCCAATCAGCGCGCGCGTTATATTTCAAATATTCTATAATATATAATATTTAAAATTAGTATAGGAAATCGCACAATATGAGTACAATTCGAAATTTACGGTACAAGTGATGTTTTGAACCTTTTCAAAATTGGACAAGCCTTTAGGCGATTTTAATTTGAGAACTTTCAAAACATTACGAGTGTCTATTAATTCCAAATTGTACTATCGTGCGATTTTTTGTTTATAGTTCACTCATCAAAAATTCAGTAAAAAATGCGAAGCGACGCCGTTCATCTTTGTCTATTTGGCGGCCGATTTTCAGTCCATCGCGCAACTGAAATGCATAAAAAAGATTAGTTCTTAGGGCTTTAAAATTTATTTATATGTTTTCTAAGTACAAAATGATAGAAAATAATTGTTTTGACATTGTTTTGGCCGTGTTGCCATAGCGACTTAATTCGGTACTCCTATAATATAACGCTATAATTGTACTCCTCTCGACCAATCAGAGTCGAGTAATTTTGTTGAGTGTACTATTAGTATAGGAATTGTACTCCTCTTGACTAATCGGAATCGAGTAATAATTTTGTTGAGTGTATTATAAATATTTTTACAGAAGTGAATATAATAAATCCAGCGCACTCATTGGTCACGATTTACGTCATGCTGTCATACTGATATTCACCTACAGGTGAATATAACGTGCACGCTCGTTTGTCGATTTGTGCCGCTTGCAGAGATGAATAACATTTGAAGGGGGAAAATCAAGTATTAAATCAATTAATCGCCTCAGGCTCAGTGAATATCGGGGAATATTGACCGAGACTCGAGTCTTCGAGCGATATTCACTTTGCCTTCGGTGAATAATTGTTAACTATCATATATAACCGACTAGCATCCTGGGCCCGGTTGTACGAAGGATGTGGATAGTGCTATCCGACGGATAAATCTTATCCTGTGGATAAATTTATTGGATAACAGCATCGACTTATCGACTGAATAAGGATTTATCCTTCGGATAACGCTATCCACCCTTTGTACAACCGGGCTGGCAAGAATTAGCCTGGGTGCATCTGAACACAAACTGTTGGTTGGGTTCGTCTGCGAATCAGCGAACCAGGTGAACATRCAGTCACACTGGTTCGAGTAACGATAAGGCAGGCCATGAGAAGGCGCACGTAAGAATGCGAGTATAGGGATTAACCAATCACAATTTAGTACATATATCTAGAAACACTGCTGGGGGTCTAGAACAAGAACTCTTGTCGSTGATTCGCATACGAACCTAACCAACAGTTTGTGTTCGGATGCAAGCAGACCGTAGGAAATAATGGAATAGAATGTCTTCTAATAATATCAAATGTGACGCATTTTTTACCTTCTCGCGATGTATTTAACAGAAAATTTCAGCTGTGGGTTTTCGATCTGCTAAGACAGACAAATACTAATCAATTATTTTTTTTTTTTTGTTGTTGTTGTTGATATATTTATTATTCATTTTAGACGTGAGTTGCTGAAATAAGTTGCTGCAAATAAGAAATGAGTAGCTGCAGTTAGACGAGTTGCTGCAAATGAGAAACGAGCTGCTGCATGTTAGACGAATTGCTGCAAGTCAGTGCTGCAATTAAGAAACGAGTTGCTCAGTGCATGTTAGACGAGATCCTACAAATAAAATACGAGTTGCTGCATGTTGGACGAATTCTTGCAAATAAGAAACAAGTTGCATCCAATTGAGACTGGGTTTTACTACTCTTCCCAGTAGACCAAGGCAGTCGTGATTTTTACATGGCCTCCGTAGCGTCCTCAGCGTCTGTTATGTTAACCGCAAGTGCATTTCAAATCGTCCATGTGATGTCAATGTAGTGCCACGTGTAGTACACCACGCACTTGACTGCACTTCGAACACTTAGTCCAAAAAACTTGTCCACGTGGTACAAGTTTTTGGTTTTACGATATTAATATTGAGCAAGAATACAATCGTCGTGTCATATCGTTCCACTAAAATTGGTAAACCGCGAACGAAAAAAATCCAAAAATTGGCGGAAAGTAAATGGGCTTACACAATATGTCAAGATTATGAATAAAAGTAATTGTGAATTTCCAAAGATGAGGAAAATGTATTAGTCCCCCCCCCCCCCCCCCCACCTCCTTGTGATTGATAAACTCCCAATCCAAAAGCACCGAAAAAAACCCCTGTTGGCTTATATGTGATATGATATATATGATAACAAAATGTTTTCTTGATAATATGGCTAGCTGTTTGTGTTTTTTGTTATTCTAAACTTACCTCGCTGACCTTTTTTCGTTTAGGTTTTGGAGTAGAAAACTTRGGTCCCAAATTATCCAAAGAGGGTTGTACCTGAATATCGACCATGTGACCTATGTAGCTTGGAACCCAAAATGGCGTGCTTTCAATGACCGGTACGCGATTTTTTCTCAACTCACTTGGAAGGGGTAACTGAAGGATTTGATTATTCTTGAGTTTCTGYCTTTTGTACATGGCATACAAAGAGAACAAGATACAACACAAGAAAATACAAATGAATACTGCTACTACATCCACAACGAACGCTTTCATGTTGTCGTGCTCAGTACTCTGTCGTCTATCAACACTGCTACCGACTGCATGATAAAAAGAAAGAAAGAAAAATGTTGGAATAAATAAATGATAATGCTAAATCTGCTAAAAACTGAAAAAAATATAATAAGTTTATTTGTTTACTTCTTTTGAAAGTAAACGGCGCGGAATTTTCGGTCACTAATGAGGCAACCTTTTTAAAGTAACATTTTAAATAACTTGAGACAATATAACAGACTTTATCTATTGAGAAAAGCAGCAGAACTCCCAGTAACCCTCGTGCATGGTGGTTTCCCGTTTGTCTGTTTTTTCTAATCCCAACCTAAACTTGTTTACTTAGCGGCAAACACGTGCAAAATGCCCAGCTCTATTGCTCCCTTATGCAATGCACGCGCCCAACATAACAGTAGGAACAGCTTAAGAACRTTACACTAGTTGCTGTTCTTCATTCAGTATTAATAGCTTTACCAAACAAAGCTCCATTATAGTAAAATTCTTCACCTTTTCTTTTCCTTTCTTCAAAACCTTCCTTCCAATTTCCACGCGGAGTGTTCAATGAACGGTGGCCACAGGACGGTGTGATGCTTGAGTGTGTTGTTCAGTTCTCGTGTCGATAATTTCAGCAAATTTACACGTGCAGAGGAAACAATTACTGCTAATTATCAGGTGATAAATATAAAAAAATAACTTTGCAAATCGAAAAAAAAAAAGTTTTTACTACATTAAGTGTGCWTTTCAGGTCTTTAGTATTAAATCGAACGCGTCTACTCGGAGTACATTCTTGCAAGTGCTCCATCGGAAGTTTTTTTGAAATTCTTGAAAAAACTAACACTTTTTGGAAAGGAATCGTTTGCATTCTTGCATCCACAAGGTCTTGCTGTTTCAATTTTATCAATGTCAATTTGAACTAACAGCTGCATTGTGCCAAATAGGATATACCAGGCGACATGTACTGCACTCGTTCTGATACAGGAGACTAKTGATTGCAATGCCCAAAAACTGGTCCATAAAATGCAAACCARAAAGCCTCCCGGCAAAAAGACTCAAATAATGGTTTGCTATTTCACCAATCTCCACCCCCAAAATGAAATAACAAGAGTCACCAGATCCATGAGGTTGTCCGATGGAGGCCATTAGGTGCTATGCGATGGGTCGATTATTCCAAGATCCATAATACTYCTTTTTACAGTTCSATTCAGTGACCACGAATAATAGTTCCTAGCCGAGRCTGGAGTTACCGCGCATGATAAACTGTAGTTTTGCTATGCGCRGAAACYCCAGCCTCGGCTARGAACTATTATTCGTGGWCACTGAATGGAACTGTAAAAWGGAGTATTAACTGGAATGACTCTAATGTCCTTGTAACTATATATTTCAGCAAGAAAAGTTTAGACTACRCCATGAATTGCATTCATCGCTATTTTACTTTCTTAATGAGAACAATATTCTCGGTCAGGGAAAGGGACATGGCTTGCCATCCCCCAGGCCCTTGAATTAACAATATGTAACAGACATCATCCCCTGTCTTCCCATTACAGTGTAACCKTTGTATCATGCATTGAAGRAATAGAAAACGTGCGAACGTGCTGTGTGGAYWTATAAAGCACGCGKGGGCTGGCAGAACACGAGAGAAGTGTTATAGGAGGAGCACGACGCGTAGCGTCATCTCATCTCATCTCATCTCATCCCTTTGTATTCTATCTTATCTATTCGTGATTAGTCCATCTTTTTAAAATTAAAACTATTCTCAGTAGTAATATTTACAATGGTTGTCACCATCAAAATATCATGGTGTATATTTTTCTCTTTTGTTGCTACTCCAAAAAAAGTATACCTACATCAACTTTATTTCAGTGAATATTCTTGGACGTTTTCGACTAATCGTACTTTAACCTAGTATCCCGCAAACAGTGATGTGGCGCGCGACAACAATCTTTAGCAATATACCAGTTTCACGTTTAGTTTTGTTATATTCACATCACTGCAGGCTCGTTGATGCCAACTGCACCTAGCAACGGCAAGACTATTTAATAACCAAACCAAAGCCCAAATGTCCAACGAGTCAATAGCCCATGAGGCCGAATGWGCTATTGACTTGTAGACTATGAGGGCCATAGGTCTAATTGCTTTAGTATATACCTACTAATCGGTCAAATAAATGGATACAAAATATTTCGAAATAAGGTTGAAATAGAGTTGTTTTTTTTTTGCGTTGTTTTGGTTTTCAAAACCGGCACATTTCACTACTAGTTAGTAYGCAGTTAAGCCAATCGGAGGCGCAGCATTTATGATAGACCATAAGTAGATTTAGACTAATAGGATTTATTCCACCTATTACCAACGTACGCGGTCTATCTTTTTGCTTTGCAACGATGAGTGCCAATGATAAGACGCAATTGCGCCTTCGCTATACTTCATCCTTCACTATATATGCTGTTCGTTAACAACGTTACGATAAGGCAGCTGATCACTACCGCTGCTAAAATTCACCGTCTTCACCTCCATGCGGCTTTGTGATATTAATACACAATGTTACTTCTCGCAAAATATTAAAACCATGAGTGCCCAGGTCAGCTAAATTCACTCGTACCTCGCCAAGCATATCATGACGAGAAAGACAGTCRAATTCCATAATTTGAAAAAGAAGTTTTTGCGTTTGCAGGTCTTGATAGGAAATTTCAAATTCGTAAGTCTCAGCAAAAAGGGGGTGAAGGGTTTGCCGGATCACCTTGGAAATAAAAAGCTGTTTTCGACTTGGCACCAACTGTGTTTTGACAAACACATCGAGTGGTTCAGAATCGTTTGAAGGTAGATCTGAGGCGTTCAACAGCTTCACGACAAATGCGGATCTGCAAAACAACGTCATATTCAATATGTAAAGTTATTAAGAATAAAGAAGGAAACTAGTCGGTTGTGTCTCGTTTCGTTGCTGCTGCATTCTTCGTTTTCTTTTCAAATAATTGCAGTTGCATCAATTTTGCCCAAGCTTTTTGATAGCATTGGTTTTCCACCTGAGAGTATGCGAGTGCGACAACGTATAAACGCCTGTTTGTGAAATAATRCTGTCGAAGGAACAGTAGTCGTTTGATAGGTCTACAATAGGTGCAACGTTACTTACGTGTTGGACTCGTATTTGTACTGATAATGCATGCTAAACGTAAGTCGTCCTCTTGGAGCACCATTTTGCTGAAACCAACATTAATAGAGACAGGTGAGTGAGGGTTTTCAGAGAAAAGATTTAACCTACAACGAAAGTTCGACTATTTATCTTTTAGGGTCCAGGGCATTAACTAGAGTTGAAACATTCAGATTCGGGGTATCATAATAGACAGTGACTGTTATATTAGGCACCATGCCGTACAGTCGATCTTAATCGTTTCCCCAGCTTTCCCTATGACATATCTATCTTGCTCCTAGTCATGCCAAAGAATCGGCTTCGCTTGACTATCTTTAGATCGTACAACATGCATGGTATTCTTTTGTTGTTGCTGCTCGCGGRAAGAAGCATACATACATAGTTTATTTAAACACGGTGAAATCATCAGTAGAAAATACATTGGTAATAAAATATCTCAATTTATAGTACCCTCAACAAAATTACTCGGCTCTGATTGGTCGAGAGAGGAGTACAATTATAGCGTTAATTGTACTCCGTAGGAGTACCGAATTAAGTCGCTATGGCAACACGGCCAAAACAATATCAAAACAATTATTTTCTATCMTTTTGTACTTAAAAAACATATAAATAAATTTTAAAACCGTAAGAACTAATCTTTTTTATGCATTTCAGTTGCGCGATGGACTGAAAATCGGCCGCCAAATAGACAAAGATGAACGGCGTCTCTTCGCATTTTTTACTGAAATTTTGTTGAGTGAACTATAAACAAAAAATCGTATGATCTTCTCGTACAATTTGGAAGGCTCGTGCAATTACAAGAACTTTCAAAGCATTACGAGTGTCTATTAATTTCCAAATTGTACTCGAGATCATGCGATTTCATATACAAATCTACCTATGAAAACTAAACTAAGTAAAATACTGTTTTACATGATTGCCGTGTAGGAATCCAATGCCATTTACTTATAAATATTTGTCATTTCGTTTTTAAATTGCTTTAAATTGCTGCATGGATGGGGAGAAGAGAGACGGATGGAGTAAGAGTATCCAACTGGTTTGATTTACCTGTCCCATTTCCATAGGCATAGGTTGTACTATAGTTGTCTTGGTGATGGGTAACGTGTCTTTTCTCTTCGGTAACCACATACTCATGACATCTTTTCTTCTTTCTCTTTTTCTTTGTTTATTCAGTTTTTCTTCTCTTTCTTGGTTTCTTTCCATGGTTTTCGTGGGTGAGTACAGCCTCTTTGCGGCTTTGCCAGGGCTTGAAGGCGTCAGAACGATCCTGGGAGGTGTCAATCCATTGCTTTTCGTGGCTAGCCTACTATAGGTTGATGATCTGTTGTACACTCGATAAGCAACATAAGCCACCAATACTATGACCACAACACTAACACCTACATACACGGCGATCAAGTAAGGGTGCATCGTATCTCGGAGCTGGGGAAACAAACAGAGGGGATTAGGTTTGTATGATCAAGAGAAAGTTAGTGCTAAAAACAGCAATAAATGGTTTTTGTTCTAAAAACTATGATAATGAGGTTAATAAAAGGATCTTCATTGGTGTTAGATTTTCAAAAATCTTTTGCTTTATGATTGACTAGTTACMCACCATCATATTAGGATCCCAGCCTCTTTTATTACATGAAAAGTGACGCGGAGTGTCAGACCAACGGCGCAGGAAATACGTTAACATTGTGTAGAGACGGTGTATTTTTGTTTCTATCAWGCATGTACCAATGTATGTAATGTATGTAATTAAGAAGTCGTTGGTCGTTGTTGCTGACAGGCTACGTCATTGTGTTTTTACTTAGCGTCAATAGTGACGTTGGGCCACTGTTGCCACTGGTGCGGTCAATTTATCATTCATGATACTGAGCCACAAGGCCAATAACGGCTACATAAAGTAGGATCAGATTCCTCTTTGTGGCGGTTCCAAAAACATCAGAATATAGATTAAAGTTACAACCGGGAAAAAGAAATAACAAAATTAAAGTTCTTGGAATTCAAAATGTGGGAACGAGATGTTTGAGAACATGCCGAGACACGACAGGAGAAATCGCAATATAATGTGATTAGTTCTAAGACCGATTCTCCATATTCGTTCAGAGGGAGATGTCTGACTTTAACAGCACTTTGCTTGGAAGGAAGTATGTCAATGATCAGCAATGTTAATCGTGGCGCCATCTCWCCGAGATGACTTCTAAGTTTTAGCATTATCTAAATTATCTTATTAACGTTTCACTAAACATGTTCACCGCCTTTTAGTGCTCTATAGTCTCGACGTTGCATACCTTGAAACTAAAAAGACAAAACCGGCCAAAGGCCAATATCACAAAGTACAATTACAAAGGGTTTTATGTCCTAATATTAATTGTATTCCTTGATATTTCTCCTTCCTTCGCTAGTTTCATGATAAGAGGTTCCAAACCTTTTAAATTTACTTTTCCGCACAAAAATCGAGATTCTTCACGGAAACTGGTCTCGTCGTCACTGTAGACCTGCTAAATCCTGTCTTATACAGGGACCGCAGAGCCGGGGGGAGGGGGGGGGGGGCTAGGGAAGCTGCAGCCCTCCCCCCTTTTTGCGCGCCAAAAATACGAATATATATGAAATGAAAACGTTTTCCCCCCTGAAATTTGATTCAATATGCTTAATTTTCAAATGCCAGCCCAATTTTCAATATGCTCCGCGGTCCCCGCTGTTATATAAAAACATTCTAAACGTTACGAAACTCTCTTTATGAAACGATAGTATATTCCAAACTCTAAGGAATACCAGCTATTGAGTACAATAAATTTTCTCGAAAGATGTTGAATACGCGAATAGRAAAATAAAATGAGAAAAACCGCAACCTTCGAAATCTTTCAGGAAAGCATTTGCTCGGCTTTTGAACCTTTCGTCCTTGATTAAATTAAGCGTATACAGACCTTAAGGTGTCTAAGTAGTATTTTGTTGACGGAACGAGATCAAAAAGGCAAGAAATCAGAAAGAAGCGCCTTCTACAATCATCTAGGACTAAACTAACTGGAATCCGTCACTCAAGATACGATCCAAAAACCGCACTTGAATATTGACTGCAGTTGTATGAGTGGCGGTTCAGAAAAGAAGATCTTTATCGACCTATAACCAATACTGAAAGTGCCTAATATTACTTGGCCAAAAAAGATGAAAATAATTCAAAATCCCTCATTTGCTAAAGTGCTCGAGGTGTTCAAATGCTCCCCATACAAATATCAATAAAGTACTTGCCGGTCAATACTTTGCATTAACAGCATCCAAACCTAAATCTATTAAATATGTACGTCTACTTCTAAGTAATGACTGAAGATGTTCTGTTCATATAGTAAAGGTTTTTCTACGTCCGACGTTTTCTAGATACTGGCACATTACTATATTACAAGGTGCTAGTGCTTTATATGCCCATGTTTTGTAGACCTGCAAGTTTGATAATCATCTTTACGCGATTATGACGTCCAAGAATGACCAATTTTTGAGCAGTGTATGCCACACGGCACGCTTGCTTGTTACGCGACATC